ACACATATATATATATTCCACTTTTTCTAGGAAGTGAATTCTAAAAAATCTGGAGAAAAAAACTAGACATTGAATATAAATTAAGAGAGCTACTGCAATATATTCAATGTTATACAATCTTAAAATTTAAATAGAAAAAAAAATTCCACAACTTTTGGTTGGCTATAGGCAACTGATGGAATATACTCAGGTTCAACTTATTCCTACAGATGTAACCTTGATGAAGACAACATTATCTGACATGATCACATATGTACATCAAGTGTACAACCATAGCTTAAAGGTCTAAGAATGGGGAAGGGGCTCCAAATGCCAGACTCCTTTCATCACAAGCCTTTAGGGAGGTGGAATGGTTTATCTTCAGCACAGCTTCTCAAAGTGTGGTCCCCAGATTAACATTGTCAGCATCTCCTGGTAACTTGTTAAAAATGCAAATTCTTGGGCCCCATCTCAGCCCTACCAAATCAGAAATGTTGGGAGTGGGAAAAGAAATTTGTGTTTTAACAAGTCTCCCAGGGGATTCTGATGCAGGCTTTATTCAACTAAAGCATCTCTGTTTTTCTAAATAACTGTTACGCGCCAAATCCTATGTCAAGGCTTTACTATCCTTATCTTCACCACCCGATCACATCACCAACAGCAGCTATTAATATTTATTAAGCATATACTATATGCTAAGCACTTTGTAATCCTCATTTAATTCTCACAATAACCCTATAAGGAGATATTGTTCTTATTCTCATTTTATAATTTTTTTTAAAATAGTAATTTGCTTAAGTTTAGAAAACTAGTTTAGAGCCCAGATTCAAAGTCAGACTACAGACACTACATTATTGCCATTATCATATGATACCATCATAACACCATCTGTCATAATAACATTGCCATTATCATTACCTATTCCTCTCAACAATCCTATAAGGTAATACTCATGTTTCAAATGTATAAACAGACTTCGGTTAAGCAATTTTCCCAAGATCACATACTTATAGAAAAATAATTTATGTCTAACTCTGACTTGAAAACCCAGACTCTTAATCAGTTTGTTATTCCTCCTTAAATAAAAAGAGAAACTAAGACCAACTGAATGTCTACTATTACCAATTATCTCATAAACTAGTTAGAAACAAGCTCTGCTCTCTAGCTGAATAGGCTCTAAGTAGCCAGTAATCATACATTTAAAACTAAAACAGAATATTAATGACATCTGTAACAAACTGTTACAAAAAAAAAGGAAGGGGAGAAAAGATAAATGAAAAGAAATACTTTTTTTTTTCTCCACTATATTTCTCTGGTTTTTGTACATTAAATTAACAATCAAGACTTCAAATGTTTTGAAAAGCTAAAGTCAGTATAGTTTGGCTCTCAAATACTGATGAACTTAAGCTATTTCTTTATTCCTTATATTTCATAGCATTATGCAAATACAAACATCTTGGATCTATTCCTTTGATAAAACTAAAGGCTTAATGACACTCCTTCCACAAAAGAGAAGCCGGTATCATGGCCAATTAAACAAAAACAAGTTATGATTAGAGAAACAGAAACTAGGTACAATGGCAAAGTGTAATTGATTACAATTTTATTGGAGACCTTTGAGTATTCTTTAGCATCCTCTTATAACACTAGAATCATTCACCTGAGGAACTGAAGTTCCCAACATGCACTGTAACTATTTTAAATAGGCTTTTATACTTTTAACTAAACCATCATAACACTTAGGGAATATAGATTCAAAGAAGTTTCAAAATAATCGTTTGTGTTATTCCAGGTCACTGTTAGTACGGAGGAGGTATAATGAAGCTTTGGCTTCAATCCAGGGTATACCTTTAGTCTGTGAGAAAATATGTACTTTAAACATACTGCACAAAGCTCTCCTTTCCTGTAAAAGACAAACAAACAAACAAACAAACAAACTAGAAACTGTAAACTCTTTATACCAGAAGGATTTGCCAAATAGAGTTTGATGCCGGGGTGGGGAGGAAGGTGAACAGCAAAAAAGTTTTCTGAAACATTCCAAATATTTGACTAGTCACTAGATTCCAAGGCAATTCCTATTTCATTCCTCAAGAAAGTTTTATCCATATATGCTATTCCTGACATTATTCCAGAGAAACATTTGTAATATCTGATTCTTCTTTTTCATAAAGCTTGAGTACACTTCAAAACAATTACTATAAAAAACTCAGCACAAAGCTGAACTCTACTCTAGACAATTGAGATAAAAATTAATTTTAGGAAAGCATTATTAAAGAGCTGAAATAACTGGCATTATATATGAATCATACCACGTACATTAAAACCTTTGTAGAAGTACTGCAATATAACTAATGAACTTGGAGATATAATTAATTTCCAAAGTAAGATGTTCTAACTGTCCGATTTAAGTGCACTTCAAAGTCAAGTAGAACAAACTGTACTGTTAAATTTTTATGTTTTCTGTATATTATGTTTTGACATCTTAGAAAACCTTTCTAGCCAGCCAATTCTTAGAGATAAGAAGGGGTAAAGTGAGAGCATGCATCTGATATGAAACTAACCCATCCAGAGCCATACCTCCTCTACCTGGCCCATGCACCCCAGGAAACCACACTGCTCTGCCTCAATCATCCCAGGACTAGGTACCAGGCAACTATATGCCACCCCTATAATTTAAGAGCTCACAGAAATTATTGAAACTAGCAAGTCCTACCTTGCCCTGACCTACCATTTCCATGGAAATCCCAATACAGGCTCTACCCTCAGCTGTGCCCATGCTCCTGCTTTCTGTCTCTGACCACCCTGAGCCCAGAGGTGTGCCATGCCTCCTGATTCTAGGACTTGTACGCATAATAAGCTTTTGTTTTCCTGAGCCTCTCCCGTGTCTCCTCCAGTGGTTGCACCTCAGTGACCATCCCAGAACACAGAACACAAGTAATAAGCCAATCTATGTTCTACATGTATGATTGTTTTTAAGTTGTATACACATTAAAGAATCTGAGTTTTAATTACTAACCTAATTTTCCCTGCCCCAATTCTTGCAGACATTGGCATATAGGGGGAAAAAATTTTTCCCCACTAGTACAGATTAACTGAATGGTACATTTCTAGGTCCACTTTGGAAATTACCTTAATTTTGCCATTGTTTCCTTCAATTTAACTCTGGCCTAAAGGATACCATCTAAAATGAACAAGGTTCTACCAGAAGGAAGCAGGGAGGAGAGGGGGGGAAGTAGATGGGGTAAAAAGGGTAAAATATGTGGTAACAGAAAAAAAATCTAACTATGGGAGGTGAACACACAATGTAAATATATATATGCGCCTTACTGTCAAAATGTACAGCTGGAACTTACCGGATTTTGTTAACCAATGTAACCATTAAATCAATCAATCAATCAATTAAAAAATAAAACGAATAAAGTTCATAAATCAGAATAGAAATTAAATACCCACCTGTGAAGGTGTACTGGTAAGTTCCATCTTTTCTTGTGATTTCTCCTTTGCTAGTCGAGCAGCTTCTTTAAATTCCTGAAACTTTTCTGCAAACTGAATTTATAAAGACTATATACATTAACCAAATAAAAATAAGTCACAATGTCCACTTTTACCTTAGTTTTCGTTCATTTTTCTCAATAACTGACTCTTACACAAACATCCTAGCCCTCAAATCAATTACAGGTATAATATGAAAATGACAGGAAAAGAAATCTAATACCCAAACATCTGTACACTATAAAGTACTTTGACAAATCTCATTCAAAAACATCATGGTATAACTAAAGTTAGAATCTGGTGTCAGCTAGCTTACCTATGTCCCTCCTTGGTTGTTCAGATATACTTTACTAAGACCAAGGTTGGGGATACAGGTTGGGAGTGGAATCAGTAAAGATGGGCATACTACGTTTGTTTATCATGGAAAAAAACTTGAATCTCTTAAGTATCTACTCCTAAGCATCTCAGTATTTGAAGCATGCTTTTAATTTTACTGTAATATATACTCATATTACATAAGGCATTTTATTTTCAACAATACAAATAGCAATATTTAATATTATCACTAACTGACATTACTAAATCTTCATTTCTAAAGATTCCTAAACAGCTAATGTACAGTAGCAGAAAAGAATAACGTGACTCCACAAAGGTCTTTAACACTGTTGATAATTTTTAAAAATTACTGTACATGAAATGCTAATTCTTAGGAACTCATGGGAATCTATAAACATCGTGGCCATGAACAGTATCTATTTGTTTTGGAAGTGGAAGCTAGTTCACTACTATTCTCAGAAAGAGTTAGTTAGGGCTGCAAAATAACCAAATTGAAAAATCTAAAATCTCTATGCAACTTAAAACACTTGTTAGAGTTGGCAATAAAAGTATAAAATTACAATTCCCTCCTCAAATCCTATAAGCCAACCCTGATTTCATTTCCACCTTGGGAAGGAAAGCTTCGGTAGGAAACGGTCATGATACTATGACCTGCGTTGGGAAGATGGAGGAAGGTCAAAATTCAAATTGTTGTCATTATTACAACTTTTCATTCTTGTTTTAAACCTTGTCACTTCCAATTATAACTTGTAGATCAGGGAACTGAATCTGTATTGCTATACTTCTCTAATTGAAGAGAATACCTCCTTATTGGAAAAAATCTGAATACAAATCTAAAAAGGTCTTACGTTAGTTGGAATGAAAAACAAAACCATAATTAACCTCTTTTCATGTAATAATCTGTGGCAGATAGTTTTTTCTTATACTAATTTAGCATTCCAAAGTAGTTAATGTTTAAAACCCTTCTCAACTTCATAAAGACACTATTGCTAATTTTTAAAGGCTTAGGTTTCCATGATAACAAAATACAATTTAGTAAGCACTGTAACAATCCAAGCATAGTTAGAATTTTCTTCATATATCAACCTTAGGAGATCATACATTTTTTCCAGTATTGTTACTCTACCCTATTTTGAGAGGCCTTTGTCGAGAATTGCTTTCAGAGCCTTATCTAACCCCTTATAATGCTTTGATTCACTTACGTATTTAATGAAAAAACAAGCCAGAATATTTACATGTTTGCTTCATTTATGTAGAAGATTATAAACTCCTTTGAGTCTTGTACAGTCTACAAAGCATCGACATTGGTCTTCGTGGTAGCTTGGAAAATAGATTATGATTTTGTCATCTTTGGACCAAAACACTCTAAAACGACTAACTGCAAGCTCTTGGAGCCAAGTCTAGTGAATAAATAAACCAGATTTGGCTCTGAATGATAACAAGTTGTTTCCTAATAGTCAATCCACACTCAAAATACTAGGATTCACTAGTGGTAAGGTCAGTCAAAAGCATATGTTAATTTTACTTTTTTACTTTTTATTTTTTTACATGAACAACTTTTATTTTCTATTTCTACTTTATACACTTAATTATTACCATTAAACACATTAGTTGAAATAGAGATGGACTGATGACTTTTTAGAGGGTTGTAAAACTCCAGCTCATTTAATGGCTCAACTAGTGACAGATATAGAAACTTGCATTTGGGAGAGGAAAATTATTCAGGAGTAAACTGAAGCCCTTGGTTTCTGACAGTGTCCCCCACTAGGCTTTCAATGCCAAAACCAGTTGTGCAAAATCCCTGTCAGAGAAATAGCCAGGATAAAATGATTGGCATGTGCCAATATGGATGGCAGCTAGCCCGTGATAAGGGATCAGAGACGGATGGAGACTGGCACCAGGCTGGCGGCTGCAATCACACACAGGACCCAGGGTGGAACAGTAGCCTGGGGAAGTCAAATGTTTAATGCGCTCAAAATCCCATTTTTCTAAATAGTTCCTAGGACGCTTTTCTCAAACAGTGCATATGTTAATTTTAAAGAAAAAACAAAATTCTTGAAATATAAAAGCCATTTCCAGAAAAAGGATCAAATGAGGAGACAGTATAATTAACAGAATTTAATAAACTATTCCTTTATTACATTAGCTAGCTGCCCAGCAACCTGAAAGATGCAATGAAAAGCTTAATTTATTGTCAAAATTACTTAGGCTCAAAAATCACTTCATGCGAGTTTATTTGAGAAATTAATCCACAATTTAGTTCCTGTATTGTCAAGAAATTCAGCTACTAGAATATAATTATAGTTTTAATTTTTTGTTGCTATAGTCGTCAGTAGACGATTCCAAGAAAAGTTCCAAAAAGGTTCTAAGTAATGGCAAAAGTATCAGAATAAATGCATAATTTCCTAAGGGAACTGTTCGTGGAGGGGCAATGCTCAACCGGATGCCTGTGTCTCTGTTATGTCAAAATACTTTGAATCTAAAACTCATACCTTTAGCACAGTTCAAGAAATGTACTTAGAGAATTAGATGGGTATTAAGAAAAACCAAATCAGATAAAACTTCTTTTAATCATCCCACAGAGAATGACACATAATTACCAAGGCAAAAGTTAAAATAGTCTTAAAATTGAGCTTTAAACTTGTTTATACCAAAAAGATTTAAAAATTTTGAAAACAGTGTTAAAGAATGTTTACGACTAAAACAAAAGGAAACAAAGTAGTTTATTTCAACTACTGAACTATCTAGTAATAACCTTGTCAATAAATATTCATGAAAGTGTAATAAGACTTTTAAAAAGAACTTATTTTTAAGAATCTGTATGATGACTAAAAAATAGCTTACGGTCTAACAAATATGAGCCATGTGTATTTACAAGAGTCTGATTACCCTGCACTTGAATAATTTAAACTCTTAAACCATCAGTTACTGTGTATGCCAAATCACATGTAAAGTGTTTCAAATGTAGGGTTATCCTTTTAACTAAATGCTTCAAACAGAGAAGTTTTAAGCATAAATTTTAGGGTCTGGAGAATATAAAATGCGAAGAGCAAAAGTGAATAATACTCATCTCCTTGATCATCTTAGTATCCTGAGATTGTTTCCTTTTCCTTACGTACGCTTTTCATGTGACATCCATAGAACTCAAGGTGCTCCTGGTATGAACACTGCATGGCTTTTGCTTATAGGCAGGACAACTGTTTTATTTCAAATATTTAACTTGTTGATGCTCTGTATTTTATTGGCTTTTCTGGCTATGGTCATTTGCTTGGTCAGTATCTTCTAAGAACTCCTCATGGTATCTACTGGATTTCACTCTGCACTGCATAAGAAAGCTCAGAGTAATTCCACCCAGATAATGCATAATTTTCTCTCAACAGTAATTTATATGTGTCTGCTGTCATTTCGTAAAGCTGAAATCTATATGGCTATCAGCTTGGGTTTTCATAATTCAGAAGAGCTTGGTGTCTACCTGTCTAGCAGACCATCTCCATCCAACCAAGGGTGTGAAGTCCTGCGAGAAGTCCATTCTAAAGTGATAATCCCCACCTTTTATTTCTTATCAAACATACAGTTAACCACACCAATCCTTCTCAGTCAGTGGTGACTATTTTTAATGTGTGCAATGAATCTTCCAACTGATAGCAGAATCCAGTGCTCTCACATCTTGCTCTACAGTCACTACTGTTGTTCTGAGAATATTAAACATACTTCTATATTTTACACTTTCCATGTGTTACTACATATTTAAGACAAGTGACTTGAAGATTTTTCACTTTGATCTTATGATTCTACTTACTTTTGAAAGATGATGCTCAGAGGAGAATCCTAGTCCATAAACAGTGTTTGCCCGGCTATCAGCCCACTGGCCAAACTTCTGAGATGTTTTAGTAAATGTCATGTTTGGGGTGATGGTGCTATTAATTATTGCCTAAAAAATAAAACAAGTATGAGTAACCAGCCCAAAATTAGCAAACAGACATGTAAACACAGGACTATTCAGTTATAAAAAACTTATGGTTTCTAATGAGCCACATTAAATACATAAAGATAGAAATGATTTATATTATTACAAGTGACAGCATGGAAATATGGTAACTACTAGAACTATAAATATAATGGCACTCTATCAAAAGTTTCAATATCTTACAGTCAAAGTAAGTTTTCCCATGGCGCAAAAATTTTTTTTAAGTTTTTAGTGTGGTCAATTCGTCCTCTTTGAATATTTAGGACTGATATCTATTAATTTCGGATGACAGTCTCCAGAAGTGAGTAGTTTTAATAGTTGTTTATTTAAAAATAAGGTCCCATCCTCCAAAGAATTTTTCAAAATTGAATATATCATTAGGACAATTTTTCTAATAGAATAAGTTTGTGCACTAATTTTCCAAAATCCATAATCAAGAATTTTCTTAAAACTGACATACCTGAAATATATTACAATACAGAAATATATTGATACTCAGAAATATATTATGAAACCCCTAAATATATACTTCACTTTTCTCATAAACCAGTATAAATTCATAACATTAAGAATCAGTATTATTTAACAGTTTCTTAGAAAAGTAATATTTTAGTATGTTATTAAATATTAACTTTGGTGATCACTATAATAGATTTCAACTATTATAACATATTAACTTCATTCCTTCTGCTAGTACTGTAAAAGTATAGAATCCATTTTATTTAAGCAGTCTAATAGCCTCCCAAAACAGATTACAAAATATTCCAATAATAATAAAAATACACATTATCAAATCCATAAACAGTTTTTTGGTGAACTCTTAAATGTGGAATGAAAATCAAACATTTTTAGAACACAGCTAAATCTGTCTACAATGTGAACAACAGTATGTAAATACTTATGATCTATGCAGGTATTAAGTTATAATAATGAATGTATGATGCTTGTCCTGCTAAAGAAAGACAGTAGAAGATAGAAAGGTTTCTTGCTTTCTCTGACAGCAGGATGTGTTATCTGCTGTTATATGTGAGCCATTACCTTTGATTAAGCTTTTTTAACCTGACAAAATTTATATACTCATACTCATATACCTCCTTACTCTCCAGTTCAAAAGCTGCTCTTCCTAGCATGTCATTTTAGATCCTGTAAAAATGTGACTAATGACTGCTCTAATTTGTGAGGCTGTCATCAAATGAAAGACTAAATGGGAAAGAATATATAGTAGTGCCGCTTTATCCACAGTTTCACTTTCCACAGTTTCAGTTACCTGTGATTCAATAGCAGTCTAAAAATATTAAGTAGGAAATTCAAGAAATAAACAATTCATAAGTTTTAAACTGCATGCTGTTCTGAGTAGCATGACGAAATCTCTCGCTCTTCCACCCAAGACTTGAATCATCCTTTTGTCTAATGTTATCCCTGCTGTATATACCACCTGCTCATTAATCACTTATTAGAAATCTCAGTCACAGGTCAACTGTCTATTACCACAGTGCTTGTGTTCAAGTAACCCTTATTTTACTTAATAATGACCCCAAAGCACAAGAGTAGTGATGCTGACAACTTGAATATGCCAAAGATAAGCCATAAAGTGTATATTTATAGGAAAAAACAGAGTACATAAAGGATTTGGTACCATCCACGGTTTCAGGCATCCAGTGGGAGTCTTGGAGGTATCTATCCCCTGTGGATAAGGTGGGACTACAGTATTAACAAATGGTAAGGAATCACTGGTTATCCAACTTTTTTTACTGAGTACAATAAGAGTCAATGTAATTGTGGATTACATTCTAGAGTAAGAAGAGTCAGTCAATGAACAAGTAAATAAATAGTTGACCAACATAATTTCAGAGAGCAGTAAGTGCCATGAAGACCATAAAACCAGGATATGCTAGACTGAAAGGCTAGAAGGCATGAACTATAGGCACTACTTTAGATCTGGTGGTCCTTGAGTGTTCCCTGAGGAAGGTCCATTTGGGTTGGGATCTGAGTGTTTTCAATGAGAGAAAGGCATTTAACACATGATCCTAAAAATTCAAAAAGTCAAGTGGCAATAGGTTTTACAGGCATCTAAGAAAACTGACCCATGTGCCGTTGGTCACTGACCTTCAGATTTAGCTATTTCAAATAAATTTCATTTTATTTTTAAGAGTTCCATTTTAATCCCTATTCTGAACCTTTCCTTAAAAAAATTATTAGAATTCCTTGACTAGCATGCTACAAAGAACCCATTTAAAAGAAAAGTTCTAGTTTTTTAAAACAAATGTCTCTCAATCCCAAAGTTCTTGTCCTTGCAAGGAAAGGAGATAGAAATGCTGTGTCATTACAGATCATGTAGTGCACTGATCCTGGCTCTTGGCCACGCTGATGTCTCTGCAGCATGATTAGAAAAACTTCAAGCAAACTTTACATTCACAGTAAAAGCACTAAATGAGAACAAATGGACATTTTCTAGTCAGGGGCACCTAAGGCCTTTTCAACTCATCATGAAACAGAAGTGGGGATGGGAAGGATAAAAACACTCATTTAGCCCCATCAAATAAACCACTGCTGCTAACAAAAAAACAATGGCTCCTGCAGGAAACTGCAGCAGTTAACAGCATTAGTTTAGAAAAGTAAATGGAAAATGTGATAGAAAATATAACTGCTACAGAGGGTAGATTTTTGTTAAAAGAAACAAAACCTTTTCCATGAGAGTTATTTAAGAGCCTAATAATTACAAGCTGCAAAGTATATAAAAAAATGGAAATGCCAGAAGCAATATATTTCATATTGCTTCAGAAGGAAGAACACATGGGAATTATTAATTACATGGGACATGGGAATACTTCACTTGAACTTTACTTTTATATACCATTTAACTCTCTTTTCTAATAAAACTAATCTTACCTATGGTTTGGGCCAAGAGAGAAACACAGGTTATAGAAAACTGAAAGTTTTAATCAGGGATAAGAAATAAATTAACACTCTAGAGCCTGATTAAAATAATTAATATCTGTTAATTTCACTAAACAGTTATAAAACATGACAAAATTATTCTTCATTAAAAACCGTCACAGAAATTAACTATTACTATTTCTCAAGTCCTTTAAATCCTCCAAATGAAAATGAAAGAAGGATCAATTATTCAAATAAATATGTTAGTCACTTAGGTACAAAACAAAGTACAAACAGCCCTTGGGGTCCTATAATCTAGTTAAGGAGATTAGAAATGAGCACACAGCAGCAAAAAGAAAAAAAAAAAAAAAAGACTGAAAGTTTAGCATTCAATTATCTTTTATTCCCCCAAATCACTAGGCAATACATAATAGCATTATAATATTAATAATGATAACAATACCAGTAAGTGTATAGTGACTACCATACACCCTTTAAATGCTTTTGCATAAATTGATTATTTAATCTTCACAACAACCCCATGGTGTAATTACATGGGTATTTTTATTAGTTCCTTTGCACAGATGAGGCACATTAAATACTTTGCTTAAGTCACAAGGCTAGTGATTAGTAGAGCAAAAAGTCAAACCAGACAATCCAGTTTTAGAGTCAGAGCTCTTAATTCTTACACTCAACTGCTAAAATTTCTGAGAGTAGAAAGGCCTCACGGCTTCATGAAAGCTTGAAAGAAAAAAATGGAACCCTCATCTTTCTACACAGTTTATATCCAGAATCTGATGTTTGATATTTTGATATTTATCTCTGTGTGTCGTTCAAAATTCACTGATGAAAAAATGAAAGTCCTCCTTTTTAAAGGGTATACTATCCATCAGGCACTGATCTAAGTGTTTTGCAGATATTAACTCATTAATCCCTACAACTACCAGTACTAAGGTGTGAACAATGAGGCTCAGAAAAATAGAGTAACTTGCCCAAAGCCAAAAACTTAGTAGACAGCAGAGCTGAGATGTGAATCCGTGCATTCCATGTTCTTAAATGTTATACTATCTGCTGCTCCTAAAAATAAAAACTTAGGTCATAATTAACATGCTTCTCTTCAGAATAAGGTATGTCAGCTTTAATATTGATATTGAGAGGCTTCATATGACGCAGGGATTTTGAACTGCCTACTAGTCTACAGAATTTCACTTTACATATAAACTATACAGAAGTTTATATGTAAAGAATTCTAGTTGCTCACTCTATCGCATGCTCCATAAAAGTAGAAATTGTGTCTACTCTGTTTACCACTATATTCCTATATTCCTAGCATCTATCAAATAAACTGACCTCAAATTTGTAGAATATTTTGGCATGTAACTCAATATAAATAAGGTAGTTAATCCAAGTAATTTAGTTGACAAAATAATCTTGCTCCTCCAAAACTGATCAATTTTGTTTTTTAAAAAAGTTAAGTTGTAACTTTTAAATGGATTCTTTGTAGGATATATTTTATTTTAAGATAAAAAAATCCTCTAAATAAAACTGAAATCTATACTGTGTAAAGCAAAATAGCAAGATTATTAAAGTAAATTTAACTTACCTTTGAGCCATCTAAACTGATTATCCTATACACATTTCTTGTGCTGTCATAGAAATAAGACACAGTAACTGCGTGCTTGCTGGTGGGTACCCAGTTCTTCTTTGTGTTTGGGTCAATCTGGAAGACATGAGCACGAGTGCTGAAGATGGGTTGTTCCCTGTGGGATAGAAGATAAAATGATAGACTTAAAGCAGCCAATTTTATTACACTGGACAACAGAACATGGAAACTGTGACGACAACTCACTTAACCAAAAACTCCCACGACCTTGAAAATAAGAAAAACTTTCAAATTTGAATATCTAAGTATCCATCATAAGCTTCTTTAAAACAATTACAGTCAATCTTCATTACTCAAAGATTCTATATTTGTGAATTTCACTAATGAACAAAATGTATTTGTTCATTAAATTAATATTTGAGGTACTTTCTTGGTCTTCTGTAGTGTATTTGTTGTATTTGTTCATTAAATTAATATTTGAGGTACTTTCTTGGTCTTCTGTAGTGTATTTAATGTATTTGTTCATTAAATTAATATTTGAGGTACTTTCTTGGTCTTCTGTAGTGGAAAATGTGAGTCACCTTACATGCATGTTTCCTTGTGAGGTTGATCAAGGCAACAAACACCCTGTCTCCTTGTTTTAACTCTCATACTATATAAACAAGTGCCTCTTTTTTCAATCTACTTAACACCAAGTATTTTGCATTTGTGTGCTTTTTGTTGGTGTTTTCACTGTTTAAAATGGCCCCTAAGCATAGTGCTGAGTGCTATCTGTTCCTCAGGGCAAGAAGTCTGTGATGTGTCTTATGGAATAAATATATGTTATATAAGCTTTGTTCAGGCATGAGTTATAGTGCTGTTGGCCATGAGTTCAGTGGTAATGAATCGACAATATGTATTAAATAACGTGTCTTTAAACAAAAACACATAATAACGAGGTTATGCATTGATTGGTTGATGAAAATGTTGAGACTAAAGGCTCTTAGGAACCTAACTCTGTACTGGAATAATGGTTCAAAATCCACTAATTCAGTGTTCATGACGCTTTTATAGAACATAACTACTGCTGATAATGAGAAGTGACTATACCCTGTTAAAATATAAATCTTACATTTGACTCTCACTAGGTTAGAAGTTTTTACCCGTTTAACACTACATTATTCTGGAGAGCATCTGAGATCTTGCTCCCTAGAATATATTGTCAGATTGGCTCAAATAAACTCTGATACACATTCTTTACAGATTTGGACATTTCTTACATCGACAAGATAAAAGTAGAACAAAGAACAACTTTTTTTTTTAAGTAACAGATGGGGGAGGATCACTGAGAGGAACTCAATGTCTTGAACAGTTAACAGAAATGGCAACCTGATCAAGATGTTATAAACTGAACATGTAGTCTAATCTACATATTTTTTAATTTGGAGAAATTTCTAACACACTGGTGCCTCAGTTTCCCCTCTCTAAAGAATTTTAAAAACTATATTATTCTGGTAAAAGGTAAATAACTTACTGACTTACATTCAATATAAGCTCTACTATATTAAAAAATATATGGAAAACAAAGTAGTTCACCACCACAGTATCTTTTACTTAGATCTTGTAGAGTCTTAAAGACATACAAGAGATTTTTTAAATTATCAAGAACCATAACTATTCAAAAACATTCAAAATATGATCATTAGATTATTTTAGTCTGAAAAACAAGCATGAGTTTATCTGTATATAACAAAAGCATTATAATGTAAAATTTTCCAAGTTCTGAGTAAAATTGTTTTGAAAACAGTATTTACCAGTGTGTGTGAAAGTCCAAATAACATAACACTTTTCTATCCTAAAGCAGCTTAAGGTCCTAACGAGAATTTTAACTGGTGTTATTTAATATTTAAAATTAAATAAATTTTAAATTTTTTAATTTTAAAGCAAGGAAAGGAGAATATGGGGAAAAAAATTAAAAACAGGTAAGGCAAATCTGGGTCCTTGACAAAATGGCCTTTCAGGACAATAATAATGGATAAGGTGTCACATGTATCTCCTATGGTCTACTTCAGTCTTTGGAGGGGTAGTGTAAAAGGGAGATACCTTCCCCTTGAATAATCTGGCTTTTCCCAGGTTTATTTCTGAAAACCTCCATAACAACTTTTCTTATTTTAAAAAAATCTCTTTTGAAGGAAGTGATTTATTTTATGCCACTTCCTAAAAAGTGACAGAAAGTCATCATTTCTGGCTTAATTGCCATCATATATGGATTCCTTCAACGAAAAACGATCTGGCAAGGCACTCTGATAGAAGAAAGAATTCTTCTCAATTACTCATTCCCTCTCCCCCCATTCTCAATCCTTAATTTTCAGTAAGGCTGGTGCTAATGCTCAACCTCCCGAAAGCACTGCAACCTCTAGTTTTCTTTTTTCACCTTTTACTTAAAGTTCTAGGGATAAGAGTAGTTGCTCAGACCAACAGTGACTAATTCTAATTCACAGGGAAATCCAATTACACAAAACTGTATTTATGCACGTAAGGAAGGCAAGGGGAAACTAGTCTCTACTAACTTGATAAAAACTTTGTTTCCGTTGACAGGGGATAAATTTCTAAATAGTGCAGACTGATAATTATAGGACTGTGTTTTAAAAAATGTATTTTCTAAAAAACTTAAAATACTTGTTAACACAATGATATTGCTTTTGCAATCATCAAATCCTTATTCAATGGAAATACAATGTTTTGAGTCCAGTAAATAATTCTCACATCACTCAATTTAATTAATCTGCACAATCCATGTAATTCAATTCCCTCTGAATAAAAATCTTTAGAGTAAACCAGTTATTTTACAAGCAAATGACATTTGATATCAACTAAACATATTTCCTTCTTCAATTCTCTTCTGAATAGTTGTTTTCTGAAAGAAAAGTTATAGTTCAAGATTTCTGTGGTCAAAAGCCTATCCATCAACGTCTGAATGGTAAAGACTGGGGGGGAGGGGGGGGTGGAATTTCACTGCTGATAAGGGAATGGAATTCCAAGAAGTAATGAGAATGTTATGATGTCTCTCAGGGCATACTAATAAATGATTCAAACTTTTACTGAATATCTATTATATGCCAAAAACTGATAGAGATGGTTCCCACCATTGAAAAGTTCAATCTGGTAAGGGAAGACAGATGTGTTAAAAAATAAAATGCTCTTCACCATGACATATTCTCTTAAAGTGACTGAGGTCTACCATGAAGAAATTGATGCCTAAGCAGGGTTTGAAACAAAGTACGGCACAGTGGGAAGATGGAACTGGAATGTATAGTGAGAACCTTAATGAGCATGAGTGCCTATGAAGAATGAAGCCAGATATAAATAAAGAAGCCAGTTCATGAGGGTTCTGGCTGTAAGCTACTGAAAGATGTAAATACAGTTTTGCATTAATTTGGCATCACTGAAGAGAGTGATTTAAAGGGAAATAATATTGGACATAAGGAGGCTAGTCAGAAACTTACAAAAGGATTCCAAGTTTTAAAAATTAAAGATGATAGGACATAGGGAGTGGGATGAAGACTCAAGGAGGGACTAAAGGAAAATTAAGAAAGTAGAATCAACAAGATTAATTAACAATTGGATATATGACAATAGTTCTCAAACGGCGGTGAATTGTCTCAAAGGGGGAATTTCACAATGTCTGGAGACATTTTTGGTTGTAACAACTGAGGGAGACTGCCATTGACATCTAGCAAGAAGCCAGAGATGTTGCTAAACATCTACAATGCACAGGACACCCCCCGCCAACAAGGAATTGATCCGCCAACAAGGAATTGATCCAGCCAAGGTCAATACTGCCAAAGTTGATAAATCCCAATGTAGGAGATGAAGGAAGAAGCTGAGTCTCCTGAGTTTCTGGTTTGAGTGATTGAAAAGAAGATAGTGCCACTAACCAGGATGGAAAACAGAAAGTCAAGTTTGAGACTGGAAGGATTTGGGGAGAGAGGATGAGCTCAGTTTTGACCAAGTTCATATGCCTTATAAGACTTCATAAATTATATAAATGTCTAACCATTATGTTGTACACTTGAAACTAATATAATGTTGAATGCCAACTGTAACTGAAAAATTTTTTAAGTTACATTTCAACACTAAGCATGTGGATAAATTTCATTTTAGAGAAAAGTTGAAGAAGCAGTAGAAAGAAGCTATAACTGAAATCTTAAAGCTCTTATCTTTTAAAAGGGTCTGTGATGCATTTGAAACTAATTGACCCAAGTGTCCTAATTTGTTAAAGTTAATACTTAAAAAAAACAACTAGATGGCATTCATAAATAAAAGTTTGACACACTACTTCCTTCACAACAATTCACACAAATACTAACTGCATCAAACATCAGCATTTCCCAAAGTATGTTCTACAGAACCACAGTCTTAGAAATGAGTGTTCCTTGTTCAACGAAGTTCTACAAACACTGTGCTATGTCCCATCCTGAAATATTTATAATGCACATCAGTATATTAAAGGTTCTGAGAAGTCTTCCAGTAAAGAAACCCTGAATAATCCAGCATGTGGCAAAATCATTTGACCTCAGAATTCTTTTTCATGTAACACATTAACATCACATAAGACTTATATTTATAACCGCAGAATAAAAATCAAAAGATAAAATTTTGTCTATGGCCATGCTACCCTGAACGTGCCCGATCTCGTCTGATCTCAGAAGCTAAGCAGGGTCAGGCCTGGATAGTACCTGGATAGGAGACCACCTAGGAATACCAGCTGCTGTAGGCATTTAAAAAAAAAAAAAAAAAAAGTTAAATTTGAGGTAAATATCTCTCACTGAAAGCTGATCTGGATATTCTACCATCTTTGTTGACATTACTAATTATCACTAAAAAATACACATAAAAGATATGATACAAAATAAGGCCTTAGTAATGATTATAGCTTAACTTCTTAGTTAATTGTTAACGACATTCAAAGCAACTCTTCTAAGAAATTAAACATTATTCCAAAAGTCAATTCTAAAAGAAAATAGATTTTGGCATGAAATGCTTTAAACTAGCTTAGAAAAACTAAACACACACACATACACACACACATTTTTTAATGCTAGAGAATCATCTACTTTGTAATTTCTTGTATCAAGAACCAGGACAATAAGTAGTTCAAACAACCTTATTGTTCTA